TTGGATTTTTTTTTTTTTTTTTTTTTGTAGTGGTAGCATATATTAATAGTTGAGTAAGAGTTTGGAATTGATTCACCAAATTAACAGTTGACCATTTTGTATCACAATTGTGTGTTTCTGCATTCATTATTAGTAGTTTCAGGTCACATTGTTGATGTTGCTTATGTTTGTTGTTTTTCATTTGCCTATCTGAAAGTGTTATCAGATTTCCTAAAGACATGCATTTAATAGTCAACATATCTTGCTAATGTCGACCAGGTGCTTGTAAGATTATGACTACTACTGCACTTCTTAAAACATATGGTCCAAACCACAGAATACGTACTTTTACCTCACGAAATGGAAAATGGCAAAGTCTTAAACGCATTACTTTCCCCTCCCCACATCTGTCCACACAAGGAGGAGGGGGCGAGATGATGGAAAGGAAAACAAATTTTAGGATAATAAAGGAAAAGAATCCTTAAAAATATTCTCAGACCTGCTGATGCCAAGAGTAACACAGCCCCACCCCACTCTATTTCTTCTTAGAGATGAGAAGAGAGAATGGCTGTACTTTTCACTATCTATATGAGCTGTACATTTCCATGTCTGCTGTCTGTCTAGTGTCTTGGTCATCTGTAACAGTTGTGACATATTGAATAAGGCATAGGTGTCAGATTTCAGTGAACATACCGTTAGCTGCCAAAGTCCACTGTCTTGCACTCAAGTTGCTCTGTGGCTGAAGTATGAACCAGAATTTTTGTGGTTGATGTTTTTTTTTCTGTGGTGGAAACTTTTGTTTTCATGTGAACAGTTCAGCAAGTTTTCAGTGAGTTAATGTTCTTACGTGAGTTACTAAAACACAGAAGCCCTGCTAACACTGATACCTTCTTTTGGAAGTATTGTTATAAGATGGAGTCAGATATTGAAAAGGTAAATAAATAAGAAAAAAAATCAAAATGAAAAGAAAACATCAGTATGTTGCCATGAACAGTGGTCAAATGTACAGTTTAGCGTTTATCATACAGAGATATTTGACTGTTCATCTCTGTGATTGGCCAGTCGGAACCAAGTTTTCCAGAGATATAAATCTAAATATTTTTCCCCTACACAGCGCTGCTTGTTTCTGTCATTCTCTCTTCCTGTCTCCTTTTCTCTTGTTCTTTCTTTCAAGAGGTTCTCTCACACTCATGAGACACCTCGTTTTGCTTGCAAACCCACCACCCCTCTTACTTTAGTACTTCACATAACCCCATCTGGCCCACAGCTGAAAACTATTAAGCACTGCTGGAACTTCCTCCTTAGTATCCCAGCTTGTGTGAAAGCGAATAAGTCACCCAGCTCTACATTTCACCCATCTTTTCGCTTTCATCTAAAGGCTTCCTCCACTGGTTTTCTCATTTGGTTTGTCTTTGGCAGAAGCCACTGGCTGGTGCTTCGGAAATCTCCTCTCATCTTGGTAAGAATGTTGGCTTTTTTTTATGTGGAGAGGTCTGACAGAAAGGACAGGAGTGTTTGGAGTATGGCTCCGAGCTCAGCGGAGAATAACAACTGATCCATGTAAGGAATGCCGAGGGTTGAATTAATAAACATTGTTTTAGAATGGTTGCTATTTGAGCTTAGTGAATAGGGTTCTGTTGGAAACAAAGGACAGTTTTATTTCATTCTGTTTTTTCTCAGTGTAGTTGTGGTGGTGAAGCATAGTTTTGTTGTAAATGCTGGCAGTGTTGACTCGGATATGGGTCATATCAGTGGAATGCTCATCAGCTTCGAACGGCCTTAACTTTTTCTGTTCATATTAAGCTGCTGCATTTGAAAAGGTTGGATTTTTTTTAACATCATCATAACAGAAATTCTAATGAGAACAATAGTCTGATTATTTGAATGTTTGGTGTCCTTTGTTAAATGTTAAGGAATATTTTATAAAGCATTTCTGAAAATATACATTTTAGATATAACTACAGTCTTTTAAAATTATTTAATAAAGTGTTTTGATAGTAGATTACAATATTCAAAGAATCACCACTTCCAGTCATTTCAGTGTTTTTCTTTTTTAAACCTGTATTTTCTTCTTCAAGAAATGATCCTGTTGTATAGCTTCTGCTTTCAATGATTGTGAGAAATATTTAGTTTGTATTCTTTAGAATACCCTTATAAATTACATATGTAAAGTGTATGTTAAAGTGTGCATGGAGTAAAACATGTTTTTCGGTCTTCTCTGAAGCCATTTGTAGGGTTGCAAGTGTGAAGTGCTGATATTATTATTGTCAGAATTATTATCACACTTTATTTTTCTCCCTTAACATGGAATGTGCAGAACAAACTATAAATGGTAGAAATGTGAAATTTTCCCTCAATGCTTAAATATCTGCCAGATCTCAGAAGTTGTGAGTTGGAGTATTGGTGCTATTATAAATCTAAAAATTAGAAATTTGAAGTTTTTTATAGGCATGAAACATCATGGAGACGTGTTTTATTTTCAGGGATTTATTGTCTCATGTTTTAGATGTCTCTTATACCCACATTTGTTTCTGATCATACCATTTTTCCAGCATATTGCATTTTTTGAAAACACAATTTGCAAATCAAGTTGTTCATCTGGTATGTATTTGACAGACTTCAGAACATTGTAGTCCAGACTGGGCCTGGGTCAAAATGTCCTATTTCACTAAAAGTGCCTTAATTCTTGAATGGAATGTGTCAGTAAAATGACAGTAGTTATTGTTTTAGAATATGAACAATTGGATCCCAATAACTGCTATTTGCAACTATATTTTTACTTTAAATCCAGCAAAAAGGACCCAGGCAGTTTCAGATCTCAAATCTGAGGGACCGTATAGTAGGGTTGTGACAGTGAGGAAATTTTCCCACCGGTTAATCAACGTGTGATAACACCGGTAATACCAGTAAAGGAATTGTTCGGTTTTAGTTCGTTTGAATTTCCCCTCTTTTCCTCTCTTTCCTTCGCTTTTAAATGGCTTAAAAGCACCGTGCACATTTTACTTTTACTTTCAAATAGCGGCAAATCGGAGTAAAGGAATTGTTCGTTTTTAGTTTGTTTGAATTTCCCCTCTTTTCCTCGCTTTCCTTCGCTTTTAAATAGCTTAAAAGCGCCATGCGCATTTTACTTTCACTTTCTTAGCAGCAGTTTGGCGTCAATTGCTTGAATGCAACAACAAAATATAACGTCAAACTCACTTTAGCCTATATATAAAACATAGAACTTTTATTAACATGAACTCAATGATTTTTATTACTATAAAAAAATCAAAACAACGGTGGGGGTCGGTGCCGCGGTGGGCAAGTGACGTAACCGGTGTTGCGGCTTAACACCGGTATCACGTCAGCACCGTCTATCGCGGCAAGCCTACCGTATAGCTTCTCCACCCAACAGTTATAAATTGCTTTGAGTTCTCTCAGACATGCCTAAGCTGGAGTTCACTTTGAAGATACTAAATATTGTCCGCAGAACTTTGCAGCTCAGCATAAAGGAAGGTCTCAGGGTCTCCCCTGTGGGACAGAGTGACCAGCCAGGAAGTGATAAACGGAGAACAAACACAGCTGCTGTCAGTCAGGCAGGCGGACAGCACAGCCAGGTGTTTGACCAGGTGTGACTGGGCAGCAGATAATATTGCTTAGCGGAATAACTGGGAAAGAGTGGGGATTGTACCCAGAGAGGTTTTCTTCACTCTCTGTGGAATGTTGTAATGAAATGGCCTGGGCGGTTTTCTTATGAAGCTGTGGAGCAAATGTGTTAATAGGTTAGGAAACCTGTGCAATGTTGACCGTAAATATGACTCGGTTTATATGTCAGCCCTTTCAAGTTTTCTGAACTGTGACAGAACTCCTAATGATTTATGAATTCTTTCAAAGTTGTTCCAATTCGTCTCTTTAGGCTGCTGGCAGAGGTGACGCAAAAACTTGTGACTTCACCTGCTCAGTCGGTGATGTCCGCTGTCCTCGTACATTTGACTCTCCATGGCTCTTTATGACAGCTCAATTGCCTGTAAATAAAAAAAAAATACAAATGCCTTCCTTCCTGTTCAGCCCCTTTGCTTTTAAAGTTGGCAGTCTGTCATGCTGAAGCCTGTTTGCGTTGCTCTCATGGGAGCTAACAAAACCAAAATGTGCCTGTATGCAGTATTAATTAAGAAACTGTGACTATCTAAAGGGTGGATTTTTTTTTTCATTTTCTTTTTATTTTTAAATCCTTTTTTATATTAATATTGAAATATTATTATTTCAAAAGAATAAAAAACTTGTACATATTTAATTAATTAATTAGTTAATCAATCATATTTTCTCAATAAAATTTCTTAATTTGTACATCAATTATGTCTATTGTATTATATATTAGAAAATATATTTAAAATGCATGTATGCATATAAATATTGATGTATATGTATATTCATATTTTCTGACTACATATTTGAGTGTTCTTCACAGGGGTCTTGCAATAATTCAGAAGTGTTATGGCCGATCTGTCATAGACAAAACAATTCTTAAGACAAAAACCCGCTATTGTGGATTTATGCCTCATTGGCTCAAACCAGTAAGCAGCTTGCATATTGTCATCATCATGTAAATTGTACAAAGTGGCATGAATGATATGTTTAAGGTTTAAAGAAAACATAGATGTCATGAAACCTTAAATCACATTCTTCTGTGCCAAGATGTCATCCCAAAATACTATAATTTACTGCTTCCCTCCAGTGAAGCACCACACCCTTCACATGAAAACACACTGTAAAAATCATAGGCATCACTGCCTACATTGCTTGTTTTGCAAGACGTTGTGTGAAAGGACTTGTTCAAAGTATTCATGGTTATATTGAAATAGCATTTCATACAATAGGGTCTAAATGGAGCTCAGCATTTCCTCTTGGAATAGCACATAATCTGTTTTTCAACCTTTCATTGCTATCTTGACCATAATGTTTGAGAAGAGAGAACATTTTTGCTATACTACAATTTCGTAGTGGCTCAGTAAAAAAAAGAAAGAAGGGAGTGCACTTTATACAGAATTCACCTTGAACGTTTAACGACAATCTTACTAGCATGAAAACTGCTCAATTATTCATAACGAGAATATAAAATATAAAAGTCATGCATCAAAACTCCAATCTTCCCATTGTCTCATTGTATTTTACCATGAACGTGATTAGGTCTACACAAAAAATTCAGTGAAAACATGTAATGATAAATAGGCCCAGGAAAGTTGTTCTGTATCTTGTTCAAGTTAACAAGACTGATAATTCACAGACAGGCAGCAGAAGTGATGAACTTATATTGAAGTCACTGTGAAGTTAAAGACATATTTGTCTGAAGAGCCTCTATGAAAAGCTTTTGTCTTCCCTGCATCAGAGAAATCAGTAATGTGCACCATGGACCCCTTGGGGAGTCCTTGCGATCTGACAGTACTGTTGTAATATGTCTGCCCATTGGGCGGAACATTTGATTAGTTTGTTTCATAGCCTCTGTAAGTCATTGGCTAAGCTTATCTCCTGATGGTTGACAATGCCTGAGAGGGAGAAGCTTAGGAACTATCATGCAGCGAAACAAAATTCTATAGGACATCTTTCTCATTTTATTTTTATTTTTTGATTTTTTTTCTCTGTAGTGCCAGACTTAAAGACCCAATGAAATGAGTGCTGTTTTCTGTCTTGTCACATTGTTTTTCCAATTGAAACAGGATGTTTTGAGTACTAACAGCTCTCTCCCTTATTTGTTCAATAGCCAGTACGCTTCATTTTCACCTGATGGCATTGGAGGAAGGGAACTTTTTGTTCAAGAAAATATTTCACTGGATAAAAATTAATATACAGTTTATTTTAATGTTTAGGAATGCATGATATAGATGGCCCCAATGACATGGACTAAAAGCCACACATGTCCAATTTTATTTTCATTCAATCTTAAACAGTTTCAGTTGTGTTCAGCATGTTATTTAAAAAAAAAAAAGTATTACGGCACCTTTAATTTATTTGTCACTGTCTGAGTTTTAGAAAACGCACTGCATCTACCATCCTCCAAAAATACACATTCAAATATTTTAACAATGCATGAAGGCCATATTTACACATATAATGTTTATAGTTTTGACTATTAACCCTTCCACCCGCTGTAGTACTTTTGGTTTATCCCCCCTCCAAAATAAATTTGTGCAGAGATACTTGCTTTTAAAAGGGGTTATTTCTTGTGAACCCAATAACTTTTAACCCATTAACATTTTGTGCAATAACACACCATAGGAGACTTAACCTTAGAGGCAAATTCACAGGATTTTGTTTTTGAAACATATAGTCCTATTTCTCAGACTCCGTGAAGTAAATTTCCATATGTGCTCTCATCCTGCCAGGTAGAGGTGGCACATTCCAGGAAATCGCAGCTGAGTCGGAGCGTTTTCAAGCATGAACCGGGCATTTAACAGAAAAAAAGGTATGTGTGTTTCTAACAGTTTTTGTCTTGCTTTCCTCTCTTTTCTCTGTCTATCCATTCAGCTCAGAACCTAGAGGGCTGTCAAACGATTTGAATATCATGTAAGCATATGAATAGCATGGTATTGTTTAATTAATAGCAATTCTTTTTTGCATACATCAATATTTGCTGAAAACAATAAAAATTAAAGCCATTCAAAGACTTTTTTGTGTGTGTATGAAAACATTGAACAGACAAAATGTGGCTTTAAAAGTCAAATATTATATATTGTTGATTTTATTTTCATATCATTGAAAATAAAAATGTGAAGGTGCTACTATAAGCTTGAATTGCTCTGATGGTTAGAAATGTCTTACTGCAGAATTGAGTACAGATCAGAGATTAATTACTTTATATACTCTATTTTACATTATTATTCTATTTTACTGCATTATTTTTGTTATTGTTATTCACATTAAATTGCCATGTTGAAATTGACAGTCCTAACAGAAACCCTTATAAAACTCTAGTTCAAACTCTCCCTTTTCGTACTCATATCTGTCTGCCTGTATCTCTGTCAATCTCTAGCTCTCTTTGTTCCTCACCTAGTCTCTCCTCCCTTTCTGTCATTTCTCAGTGGCTTGGAGCAGACAACCTGTCTGCCTCCAGAGGTCTGTTTTTTTCCCCTCTATGTATTTACAACCACCTGTCCCACCCTTCTTTCCAAAATGAATTAATGGATCTTTGATGTGATAAACCCTACTGGCCAGTCTTAGATCCCAGATGGCAGGGAATGCATTGGTAATATTTCTGTGTTAGGAGCTCCTGTCTGGCCTGCTTTGAAGATATAGATTATAATCGCAAGTAGTGTCCAGTGCTGAGTCCCTCAGGATGGCAAATGATGTGATGATGTTTAGAGATATGTTCTCTGGTAAATGTAACACATATGGTTTTTATATGAATGAGAGATTATAATATAAGCATGCCGAATACCATTTTTCAAGTACAAGTACTCTCTGCCATTACCTTTAACTGTATTTTTATAAGTACATTATGATTTGAGGGTGGCTTGCCTAATGTTTTCATGAACTGTTATCTTTAATATCAAAAGCATAAAGTACCAGGACGCAATAGCTGATAACCAAGGCCATTTAATTTCTATTTTTCATTTCAATATGCAAACAAACCAGTTCATCATTATATTGCATCATTGCATATGGCAGCATCTCTAGTGTACTACATTGCAAATTCACTTACAATTAGCTAATTTATCCAGAAAAAGTTGTAATCTGATTTCATAAAGAGGTTAGGCATAACAAAGTAAATATTTTGGCACTGAAACGAGCAAAGCTCTTGCAGCCACAACACATTTCCCTCCACTGCCTTGCACGGATGTTTCCGCTGTCACAATTGCCTCCTTTCTGGCGCACAGGACAGTGCTGTTGGACCGTGGAGAACACCAATAGCCCATCTGTCTGAAGGACAGCATAAAATTCTCCAACTAACACAAAAAGGTCTATCCAAGCCACTTATGAACAATAGCGACATTTACCAGAGAGAGACAGTAATCATTTTATGGCCATGCATTCATTAGCAGCGGTGTCGGGTGTGAGTGGTGATGTGACATTACAGAAGATTCACAGAGAGGTTTCTGTCTAATGAAGTCTGACTAATGCTGTCTTGCGTTGCAATTAAATGGGTGATTCGTCATTGGTCAGTAAGGTAGCGTAAATATGTCTCTCTTTGTTTTATATATGGTCATAAATTATTATTCTTTTTCAGAGTTAATGGGTGATCATTTGTCTCAAGACTCAGCCTAATAAATTCAACTACGAAGTACGAACAGAAAGTTTATCAAGATGTAATAGGCCTTATCTGTATAGTTTTAAGACTGGATGGATGGATGGTCATCTATAGGACAAAAAGCACAATGCATCTAGGCTGTTGTATAAACTGTAAGTTTATAAAATAATATATGTTGGCTATGTCAAGCTGTCAAAATAATTGTATGATTCTTCAGGATTAACTGCTGAAATATAGAGGAATTAATATAAAGCGACACTTTAAATTACTGTTCACATACTCAACAGGTATAGACTGTTAGTTTCTGAATTAAATGGTTGGTAATCCACAAAGCCAAAGGCAGAAACGCTGTTTGCGTGATGACAAAGAAATAATTGGACCCAGATTCTTTCCAGACTTATGCATCCAGTTACCAGACACAGAACATGAAATAGCAACAGTGTCTGTTATTTAGAGCATAATAAAATCAAGTTTGAACCCACACATGATCAGCTTGAATAGCCTCAACAGCACAAAAGATTTCTCGGTCGTGAAACTTTGAGTCATGATATAACACTAATGTGATTTGTGCATTTTTGTTTCCTTTTCATGCTTTTAAGCTCAGAAATGATTGCGTTTGGTGAGTGCAGCTGGTTAATTAGTGACAATCCAGTATTCCCAGTATCCCATAAATAACTTTAGCTAAATTATGCACAGTTCCACTACCTAATTATTTACATTACAGTAGTTGTTGTGCCATCTTTTTCTTTTTCTTTATTTTTTCCCCCTACAAAATGCTTAAAAAAAAAATTCTGAATATGTCATCATCGCATTGCTAATACCTCCAGGCTTTCATAGTGCATAGCAGGAGGTGACAGAAATACCCTGCGATTATGGATAAAACATAATCTTTCTTTAATGAAAAATTGCCCATGTGCTTACAGGAACTTGTGGCCCAGACCATGTATTAAAATGCGTATTCAACACTTAATCTGTTTCAGTTGAAATACAATACAAAGGCTTATTGCCCAGGGCATTTCTTTAGTATTTGTTGGAGTGGCATATAGAAGCATTAATATTGTATAAGATCATTCCTGTCTTACTTCTGCTATAACATCTTCTTATTGCCATTCAGAGCTCCATGAATCAAAGCAGTGAGCTGTAAAATTAGATGTGGAGACTACCAAGTCTCTTACGCTCCTCTAAAGCCCTTGCAGAGAAATCCTGCTAAGAATATGCCAAGATGTTCTTATTTGACAAGACTTGATATTCAGTCAATGATCATTAGATATTAGTTTGGGAAACATCAATATTTGGCCACTTTTCCCATTATACAATTCATTCAATTAAATGCGAAACACTCTCTCAGCCTGCTAATAGCCAGACAAATAGGTAGTCGAGATGCTCAAACATGCAGAGAAATGCTTTGATGGCTCCACAGACTCAACCACTTTTGACAAACACATTTCAATGCTTTATGATTTGACCTTTTGACAGATTTTCACCCATTCTCCGTTTATATTGGTTTCTCTTCTGAAAATATAATAAGCAATGCATTTCTCCAGACACTTTGTCATCAGCTTCGCCATCACAGTGTTGTCTATGATACACCTACCATTCTTACACAGATGTACACAAAAACACTGTGACATTTTGAGGTGTTCGCTCTTCGTTTGACCTATGAATGACACCCACTCTATGAGGAATCTCAGCGGGCAAACACTGTATCCTGACAGTCTGTGGAAGAAGAAAAACTGGCAGATTGTCAATAAGCAATGGATTCATGAGGATAAGTTTGAGATCAGAATATACAACTTGGATTGAATCTTTATAATTATCTTTAAAGTTCATGTACGATGACATATAACTCACCAGATTTAAACACTAATTGCTCTGAAAGCCTCAAAACATGTTGCTAACTTTTTAAATGACTGTTTATCCAAGAGTCATCCTTATTTCAGACCAAAGTTTTTCTTTTTCTGAATATTTACAATTAACTGCTAATTAAAATCGGTCTTTGCTTTCTTGAAATACCAGAAGAGGTTCTGAGTCCTCAGGGATCTTTTGTTTCGATCTGCTTGAGTTATACTTAGCTAAATGAGAGATTAATTGGTCGTTGTTTCCCTGTAAATGGCTGTATGGCAATTGTCCAGAATACCGTTGCATAACATCCTCTCAATTGTAGTACATTAAAGCAAAGTTTAAAGAAAGAATTGCGGGGGGGAAAAGAGTGTTAAGAGTTACAAATGTTGGAATTGTGCATTGCCAAATGCCTGACACCCCCATGTGTACTATATAGGGAATAGGAAGTGATTTTGGACATGCAATGGTGTGGCTAACTCTGTTAATGAACTCAGGGTGTTGATGCCGAGCAGATCGGCGGGCGTGCTGAATCTTGGGACTCCTGCGGCTTGTTTGTCACAGTTAGACCTTGCAGTTTCGTCTAAGCTGTCACACAAGCACAGGCACGGCGGTGTCTCCTGTCCGTCACATCTGACCCCTGCACTCCTTTGAGTCCAATCTCAGTAATTCACCTTCTGACAAGCCAGTTTGATCTACACTGCAGCTTTAGCTAAAATCCTTCTTCTACACAGGCATTTGGCTTTTCATCTTTGACAATCTTTGAAAAATACTTTATTTAACGCAAGGACTGTAAAGGAAAAAATAATTATTTCTAATCACATGGTTTGTTGTTTAAACACATTTACATGAGTTGCACTGCTAAGAGATTTGAACAGCAGTTGATTAATGGATAATCATTTATAATAATTGGTTTGTTGTTTATTCATATTTGAACTGGAGTTTTTGCTGCTAAGAGGTTTGAACAGCAGCTGATTTAAAGGCCTACTTATTTATATACTGTTTGTCTAAAACATTAAGGATATCATTAAGATATTGCATACTTCATAAGTTCATAAAGAACCTTATTAGGTTAATAGTGTTCTGTCTCTTTCTAGATAAATCATGGATGCACACTCCAGAAGCACTGGCCAAGCATTTTATAGCATACAATGTCAAGGTATGTGTTATGAACCTCTTCTTTACTCAATTCATTTCCATTTCTCTTAAGGTTTACTGTTTTGCTGATATTTTGTGTTTGTGTGTGTGTATGTATATAGGCTATATATATACTTTTACTTTTTTCAAACTTTTGAATGGCATTGTAGGACACATTTAACATAATTTACTTATGTTTATTTAATGAATTAGCCTAATGGAGTACAAAAAACTATTGTAGTATGAGAATATATAGCTTGACTTTATTGAAAATAACTATGTATCTTGCAGGGGAAAAAAACAAGAATGTGTATAAAGAAGTGAAATTGGGCCAATTTTGATTTCGTGCTGATTTTAATGCTTGTTGGCATAAATACATCAACTGTTCTTCAAAAAAAATACAGCAACAAATATCCAGAGGTCTAAACAGACACAGCTTAAATGGATGGATCAATGCAAATGCTATATCAATTTTCAGTCTTCTTTTGCAGTATTTTCACAAAGCAATGATTTTTTGTGTGTCTCTTTCGCTATTCATCAAACATCTTGTGGGCAAGAACATCTCGTATATACTGTCAGTGTTGTTTTACGCTCCGTTTCACCAAAGACTCATCTTCTGTTCAGGGCTGAGAAGCTGTCTACTCCCAAGCAGTGCTTCTAAAATGTCTTACTGAATTCTTCACAAAAACAAAACAGTTTTGATTCTCAGAGCTGCTGAAGTTTCAGCTGTGTTGTCTGTCTTTGGAGATGAGAAGAGAATAGACAAAGAAAGTGAATTAAAGAGGGGAAAAAAATGGTATTCTGCCAGTGTAGCAGGTGATAGATGAGCAAAGACTGGATGTCTTTGGCAAAAAAAACACCTTCGAACAGACCAGCAGGGAACAGTCGTCAGGAACAAGAGACTCTCCACCCAGTGTAATGTAGTGTATCTATCACTCCTGCCTCACTTTCTGTCCTACCGTGCTCACTTGCCCTTGAGTGTGGATGGCATCCATCATAACGACGTGCTGCAGACACGTTTATGGAGTCTTATTTGTTTATCTCCAGTTTGGACGATAATGCGGTTCTTGTCCCCCAGAAGAGTTTCTCTGATAAAAAAAAGAATAATAATAATAGTATGATGTAAGCTGTCTGTATAATGATTAAGTCTAATCATGAATCCATTACTTTCAATGCATTCTTGGAAAGAGGCAGACCAGCAGTAATGAGTTCTAGAAATTAACGTTTTGTAAGGTAGAAGGACCTTTTCAAGATTCTGTTTATAGCCTCATCAGAGAGTAACATGAATATACGAAATGTATATTTGACAAGTGAAAATGGGTCCGACAAGAAAATCACATAAGTATAGTCTGGAAATCTTTGTGGTTACTGTCAAATTATTGTTTATTTATTCATTTCAATAGAGTAGCTATTAGACTAGAGAAGTAATGGCTAGGTGTTTTAAGAACCGTTGTTAAATCAGCCAGAACAGCGTCTAGACAGATGCTTGACCACAAGGACTGGGTAAAGGTTAATAGCTCCATCTGTTGGATGCGAAATGTAGTGTTGTTCATGCTCCTGATGATTTTCTTTTCATAACAAACTAGCTTTAATGTGTTCCAGATTAAATGTGGAGAATGTTCTTAGCAATCAGCAAAGCCTTATAAAATTAACATTATAATTGAGCCTACACTGCCTAACTGACAGTGTTTGTACAAGAAACGGAAGCAGAGATGTGGCTTGCTTTGTGGTCAATTTAAATAAATGTCCTTAAGTACTTTTCTTATCATTAATTGACAGACATTAGATTTTTTATTTTATTATATTATTCAAAAAATTTCATTGTTCCATAACATATGATTTTTATGTTTCTCCCACAGTTTCTGGGGCACACAGAAGTTGATCAACCCAAAGGTACAGAGGTGGTGAAAGATGCCGTCAGAAAGCTCAAGGTAAGTTACTGTAGTTTTACATTGGCTGCACACAGTAGGGGCCGTTGCTTGCATCTGGAAACAGGAAGTGGTATTTCTCTTGAGAGGATGTAATATCAGAGCCCTCCAGCTGTTTCAGACCTTCAGTGGTGGATCACAGTTTACCTGTTTAATGATGCATAGATAATTTAATTTGATCAACCCTCCACTCTCAGTATTACATTATCACTTATAAGGGGTTTTGATAAAATAGGAAATGCTACATCAATTGATCTTAAACATATCTGATCTCTTTTAACCTGATTGTGGTCTTTCGCTCTTTCTTTCTCTCTCTAAAGTTTCAGAGACACATTAAGAAGTCAGAGGGACAGAAGATCCCAAAAGTGGAATTACAGATCTCCATCTACGGAGTGAAAATATTAGATTCTAAATCCAAAGTATGTGCATATAGCCTAACAAACAGATTTACGAAACCAATTGTGTCTCACGTGAGCCATGTTGTTTAAGTAAAAGCCAGTTGAGGCACTATAATGGCCCTATAAGAAGTATTTGGACAGTTTCTGGTTGTTGAACCTGTTCATCGTTACTATGATTTATTACACCTGTGTGAGCCTGAGGGGAATTGACTTTATACATTTGCCAAGTGTGTCCAAGTACTTTTTGGTGTCACTTTATGCCCATATATATCTAAAGGCCCTATATTTTGTCTATACTGTCTCTTATCTTATTTTCTTCTTCACAGGAAGTACAGTACAACTGTCAGTTGCACCGGATATCCTTCTGTGCGGATGATAAGACAGACAAAAGGATATTCACATTCATTTGTAAAGATTCAGAATCCAACAAACATCTCTGCTATGTGTTTGACAGTGAAAAATGTGTAAGACAACAGAAAATATGTCATATTAGTTGTCCTAATTTTTTTGAAGAAATGATTTGTCACGCTTACATGTTGTGTTAGAACTTGTAAATTAAATGTGGTTCAGAAGACAAATGGCCAAACAAAACTGCTGTTGATGTTACTAGGAAAATGATCTGTCATGTATCTGTCGATTCCAGGCAGAAGAGATAACTTTGACCATCGGCCAAGCGTTTGACTTGGCATACAAGAAGTTTTTGGAGTCCGGGGGAAAAGACGTAGAGACAAGGAAACAGATAGGTGGCCTACAGAAAAGAGTGAGCATCGTGTACAGTTAGAAAACACAATACAATGTCTCAAATAGGAACATTTGTTTATGACAAATCGATATCTGTCTTTATAGATTCAAGATCTTGAAGCTGAAAATTCTGAGTTGAAGAAGCAGTTGCAAGTCTTGGAGGAACAGCTGATGATTGCTCAAGTTCCTCCTGTAAGCACTGCGTGGACTTCCTGTCAGTGGACTGCACATAATTGCCGTTCACCATTCCCTTAATTAGCTGCATACAAAACAGACTTCAGCTATGCCTAAAAACCTCTTCTAATCTGATGAGTTTCCTTTTTTGAGAAAAAACACTGCCGTAAAACAAGTGCTGACTAGTTCTGCTCTTTCCGCAGCTTCTTCACATTAACTCTTCTAATGAGGCCTATATGCTTCAGAGACCCTCATCTCTCTTCTGGTGTCACAACGTGACCTCGTTCTCTTGCCTCGAAATCTCTTCTGTTACACTAACGCCAATGAGCTCACCTGACTCTAACCTTTCTGCTGGTCTTCTGACTCCTCCACCTGCTAAACCAGCTTTGTCAAAGCCTCCCAGTGGAGCCAGTGATCCTCGCCCTTCTGTTAAGCACCTTTCTGTTTACTCTTTCTATCTTTGTGGTCTTGGTTGTTGGTTTCAGATGATTTGCTAAGTTTTACCCTCAGATTTTAAAGGCTGGTTCACATGGGCCAACAAACGCCTACACTAGATTCCAGCGGCTGTTGGGTTTTACTGGATCGGTGTGTTTACCCTGTTGGTGTTTGTTTGGGGCGGTGTGAACCAGCATTAAGTGGTCATGAATTTTGACTAAGATCCATTTTACCTTCTGTAATTTAAAATATTTCCAAATGAAATTGTGCTGTTTTGCGAGGGGAAAAGGTGGGGCTTTTTATCATTTGGAAATTGATTGGATCATGAAAAGAGTGAGAAAGTGAGAGGGATTCATTTTTTTTTTTTATTAACAATATTTTTATGACTCACTGATTAAGAAATACAGATGTAATTATTGATTTATATAATGGAATAATGCACACAATGAAACATGCACAAAAACACTTGGAATGTGAATAGGGTCAACATTTATTTATCTATTTGTTTATTTATATAAAGCACACAATCAAACTTTCACATAAAATATTTGTGATGTTTGGGGCTTCATAGTTATACATAATATTCAGTATAATGTAGTATAATGTTATATACTCTAATATGCACTTTATTCTTAACTTTTAACAGATGAAAATGGTTTTCAAATGAGCGATTCCTCAGATTGATTATGTACTTCACACATTGTTCACATTTGCAGGGAAACAGCATGTCCTCGAAGATGCCCACTGACATATTTGACATGGTTCCATTTTCTCCAATGACCCCATTGGTTCCATTACCAGCAAGTAATGGCTCGGCCCCTCCACCACCTGCAAGGCCTTCAGAGATTAGTAAGTTGTCTTTTTCCCCCTTTTCTTTACCAAAAGAAATGGTGACTCATTTGGCCAAAAGATCAGGTTGCATAGGTTCATATATTATGGATGTTAGCTTCAGTGGCCTATAAAATGAAGGGAAAAAAACATTGTCATTTTCTTCTTCAGGGAGAGACCTGTTTGGTGCAGAACCATTTGACCCTTTTACCTGCGGGGCAGCTGACTTTCCTCCCGACATCCAGTCCAAGCTGGATGAGATGCAGGTGACTGCATGTCTGTGAATTATTAGCAAATGGACTGGTGTAAATGAGCAGCTAATGGAGCTGACGGTAGGCACTGCTGCAGCTGTGAAGACTCTCTCAGTGCAGAAGGGAATAATATGATGATTATATATGGTTTTATGTTCATTTCGGATTTGTCTTGGGAGTGCTATTCTGTTTGTAGATGGAAAACTTTCAAGAGAAGTTTGCTTTTTAAATATGCTTTGAACCCGATGAAAATAGACTAACACAGAGTAAATCTTGCATACAGAGCAGTTACATGAAACATTTATATCATTTGCCAGTTTTGCTCAACTAACAACCTCAATTTTCCATCTTTTTGCTCTCTTTCTGCTTGCAGCGGCAAAGATGGTTTGTATTTTAAAACAATTTGAATTTTTTTTCAGGTGACATATAGCTTAGGTCTAATTTGGAATATTTAACTGTTTTATAGGGATAATTCATCCAAAAATGAAAATTCTGTCTCTCATTTTTGCCTTTTCTTCATGTTTTCACTTCTCTTATATCAATACATTTGAAAATAAATGGTGACTGGTTTCTGCTAAACTGTGTGCATATACATATGTGCAATATTTCAACTCTTTTACAGCCATACAATAGTTTAATTTGAGGTACAAACCAAATTGTTGAATCAGTTATGATATGTAAACATGCATATGCTCAAATCGCCTAAATGAGATTTGAGAGCTATGGCAGATGATTTCCACTGAAGAATGGGTTCAGTTTCAATCTGTTATCTCATAAAACTTGGAATATTATGCGCAAATCTTTTATCATGCCTTTTGTAATTTTTTGGAGCTTTGTGGCCCCTGGTCACCATTCACTTTCATTGTATGGCAAAAAAAAAAAACATTATGCTAAATGTCTCCATTTGTGTTCCATGGGACAACATGAGGGTGAGTAAATGATGATAACATTCTCATTTTTAGGTGAACTATCCCTGTAAATGTCTCTAAGATCAATTATTTACACTCAGACTTTAAACCCTGTGTCATTTGCTTCTGGCTCATGCCCTGCTTAAAAAAGCCTTTTTACTTATTTAACAGATTTGTATATATGTATAATGCAGTTGCGTATTTTAAATAAACTTGCATGTATTTCACCGTTTAAAGGGTTCATTCTAATAGTGTTTGTATTTTTATTTTTTTTCCCTCTCCAGGAGGGGTTCAAAATGGGACTAACAGTAGAGGGCACTGTCTTTTCCCTTGATCCACTAGAAGGTCGCTGCTGATGCCAAGAAGAAAGTTTGTCACTTTCATGTTAAACCATTTGTATTAAAGTGCCAAACTCGGGTTTAAAGTCAAGATGTCAATGTCTTACCTTACGTTTTTTATGTATTTGCATTTTGAATTTGGTTTACAAAAAGTATATTGAGAAATCAGAAGCAGTAGAATCACTATTTTTGTAAGAACTAAAAAAAAAAAACTAGAAATGTAGTTTTAACACCCCTTGCGTGTACAGGTAATGAAGGATGTAGATAGTATGTCCAATTGCACAGTCTGTGTCAATGTTTCATTACTATTATCAAACGCAAATTCTTTAAGCTTGTGTTACACATACAAGCCGCTGTTTTTAATCTGTGGCATATTACAATTCATAAACACATACAATGTTATAGTAATGGAGAGTTCCCTTGACATTATTTTTGTAACTTTATTTTTAACATTTAATACGTTACCATACATCATAATCACATTCCTTTTGTATCCAATCACATGTAAAATTAAGATATTGTTTTTGTTAATAGCAATGGATCCATTAAAATACAGTATTTTTTAACTGAGCAGCAGTGCTATAAATTGCAGGACTGGACTATTTCCACATTAACATATACTCGTATTGCAGTTTAATTTTATATTATATATTTTAGTATACTCTTGCACAAGGAAGCACTTTGAAAGAGCTCTGTTCATGTATTATTGTTCATTCAGGTTATAAGCATTATTTTAGCCTTTGCTGTTGTAGTCATTAAAAGAAAATGGTACATATTCTCTAAGTTATGTTTTGTAACATGTTTTTCTTAGACCTTTACTTGCATTAAATAAGAGACCTTGTATGAATTTTTATTTTTGGCTCAACAAATCTTCACCCACATGCTGTAGTGTTTAAGTAATTTATTTCAAGTCGCAGATAATGTATTGAAAATACAGTGTAAAGAAATAGTAATAATACAGTAAAATGATCATTATGTACTTGAGTCCCATTAATTTACCATTACATTTCAAGTGTTTTAAATTTACTCTCTTAAAATTAGTATAAAAGCTTAAAATGTTTGTTTTTCACGCTATAATTCATGATGATTGTTCAGAATGTAATTTGGCTCAATCGTGTAATCTGTGTGTACTGTTCATAAGTGTGTCTTTCTGAAGAGCACCACATCTTGGGAGTGTGTTACTTCACTCTTTCCCATACTTTGTATGTTCAACAAAAGTGTTTTTCCGTTCATAGTAGTGCTGCACCAAGATGCGTCATATTTCAATCAGTGCAATTGTTGTAGAAACTTGTAGAAAGCCTGTCTGAGGAACATGTATACAAGGCATAATAATAGAACATTCAAACATTTCCTGTTCAGAAAATACCCATATTTATGCTCCTCCCAAATACTGCTAATATAACGAGCAGTCCTCGCTATAGGTATTTACAGTTCTGATCATATCAATTATTTTAGTCAAATATTTTTAACATACAGGAAAATGGCAATATTTTAACAATATTTTTTAATATCAAAAATACGTTAAACTAGTATTATCCCTGCCATTTCTTACTATTTACTCAAAGCAAAAATATTAATTAATTAATTAATTACGAAAAGAAATAACAACAGCAACAACATTCTGACAGGTTATGACAAAATTGCAGAAATCACTCTAGCAACTTACAGAGGATATAATGAAGCAAAGCAATCTCTTACAATTTTATTAATTACAAATATATTTTCATGCTAAAAGATGAGGAAAGAAACGAGGGAGAAATATTGTGTTGATTGATTCAATAAAATGATAACTGGTACTGAGCAAAGCAAATACATGAGATTAGCTTCAAATCCATATACCAAATGGCTTTAAAAAGTTCTAAAATTTAATAAAATAATAAAAGAAGAAAATGTGCACGAATTATAGGTATACCTGCATGTTTTAGCAAATATAACATCACAATTTTTTTTTAATTTAACTGCACCAGCATTTTACTACATTGTGCCTTTTACCTTTACAGAAGCATTTAAAGTATAAAACTAATGGGTTAAAATGTCTCTTGCATTGCACTTGTGATAGCTGTACTTGGTTTTCAATAGGCTATGGGAAAGAGAAATAATAATGCACCTTTTAGTGATTAGAGAGATGTTTTGTCTTGTTTTCAGCCCAAATATCTAAAAATAATCTTATTTCAAACAGAAAACAAGATTATTTTGCTTACTCCATTGGCAGATTATTTTGCTTGTTTCAAGCAAAAACGCACTTAATTTTTACATGTTTTTTTCTGAAAAGACAATTATTTTTACTTGTCTAGAAAATCCTTCTTGATTTAAGAATTTTTAGATATTTTGGCTGGAAACAAGACAAATTGTTTTGCTGTGTACTCTGCATTGTACCTTTTGATAAGAGAAATACAACCAGTTGTACAGAATTCATGTACAGCAAGTCTGTGGTCAGCTTTTGCCGGTTTATAGAAACGAGGTAGCTTGCACTAATGAATCACCGTTTTCATCTTTAATTGTAAGTTGGTTTTGAAAGTAATTACAAGGTGAATGTACAAGAGTACAGTTTTAGGAGTCAAAATACACTCAACTGAATGCAAACGTCCTCTATAGCACCATTTTTGTGTAAAAATAATAATACAAAATAAAACATACTCTAATGAAAACAGGCAAATCCAAATCATTTTAATTGCATCTAGTGATGGTACAGTGTGTAGCATCATTACTGTTATTTGCAATGGTAATTTAAAACAGCAGTTTATGAATAGTCTTGTAGTATAAAAATTCAGTTAATTTTAATTTCTAATTTCAAGGGAACAATCTGTAAAAACCTTATGAAGCGGTTGTTTTCTTGAAACGCTTGGAAGGCACAATAAATATCTCGCTACAGGGCCAGAAAAGTCCAATGCTCTGTATGTACAAGGCTGATCTTGTCAGCAGTCACTTTAAGAGTCTCAGGAATCTCTCAAGGAGCATCTCTACTCCTTGATTCACAAGAAGCACACAGGCCCAATATCAATGCCAAACTCCTGGTCTGAACCTCCAATGTCCACAGGTGCAATATCCACAATAGGTAGTCTTGCTGTTTTTTGGGTCCTGTATTCAAACACCGTTTTGCCCCACTTACCATTTGCTTGCTGTGAAGAAAAAGACATTCATTTAGGTTTGTATGGGAGCGCTTGTGTTCTAAATCTCAAGCGAGCTGTCTGCATAGACTACATCAAATGTGCACTCCCAATATGAAGGTTGTTCCAGAAGGTAAGCTGCATCACTCTGAGATACCACTAATGCATAGATAATAAATATAATTTATTAAATCACAAAATTATTAACTGTGTATTTTTATCCATCATAATGTTTGTTAGCTTAGCAACATGCTAAAATAAACTAGTGCTATTTGTGTTGATGCACAAGGTTGCTTTCCATGCAGAGTGTTCCAAATCCTATCTTCACTTACAAGGTTACAAGGTTAGGCTGCCTTATAAAATGTAAGCAGTAGTAGAGAGCAAGACAGATCACTAGCCTCTGAAACAAGGCTTGTGCCTTTATATAAATAATGTTCTGCAGGGTACTTACTGAGCAGCTGTCCTCAAGGACAGTGTATCTAAAGCGGTTATTTCCCTCAGCTTTGAGCTCTAGATCATTTGAAGCTTTGAGGATGACTGCTTTCTTGAGGTTTCCAGTTGATTCATCCTTGTAGCCCACAGTGTTCCTGCAGTGGTAAGTGACGGTTTGTGATGCCTCTTTGGAGAGCAGACGGATGAAAGTCATCTGAACTGTGACAGTGTTGGCCGGCTGGTCTTTATTCCCATAAGTGAACTTCATAAAGACATAAAAAGAGATAAATAATAGGCAAATACAGTTATAGGTGATAGATAAGTCTATTACTCAATGCCATACTAAGTTATTTTGTATTCTAAGTACAGTAGTACTAACTGAGCTCACACAATTTACATGATTAAACGAAATCATGTTCGTAAGAGTGGCTCAACATGCTTACATATGTTCCTCCATTCATATTGGCTCCAAACCACACAGGCTTAGTTCCTGGGGAACTCCACCATGACTTCTTGGGGATGCTGGCAGGTATTGCGGAGATACATGTCTCTCCAGTGTCCATATTGCAATTAACTTTAATGGCATCCTCTGCACTGCCCTGGTTTGGATCCACCCAGTATTCACCTACGATGTAGGGATGAAACATTTAAGTTTGTTTGGTTTCAACTGTTAATATTCTGGTAATTATGGAAAATAGTTTTGTTTCTTATTAAAAATAGCAGCTACAAAGGTACAAAGCCACAATGACAATGTTAGATTAGTAAGACTGTAAGTATATTGTAAAAACTGCTGTTTAGTACAGTTTTTTATAGTACAGTCTAGTATTTGTGTGTCTTATCTCTCTCTCTCATATATATATATATATATACTGTATATATATATATGTGTGTGTGTGTGTGTGTATAAATGTAATTCAATGTCTAATTGTATGTCAACCTAAGCTCATTGAAAAGACGTGCTTCTACCTAGATTTTTGCAAAACTCCAAAAAAGTACCTATACATATAATGCATTGCAGTTTCCAGCTGAAATGACTAGTAAAACCACTTTTATTCCTGTTAACACAAATTCTTAGTTGTATTGATTAATAAAGACTTCTTTTCATGTGGTTTCCTGCACAATGTTATGTTATGACCTCAAAATTATTTTACCATAGTGCATGATTTGTAAACTAATACATTTTGATGTTTACATTAAATAATAAGCTCCATATATATGGCTTTTTTGATATAGTAAACTTGCTTGGTAGCTCACCAGGTACATTGCACTTGCAATGCAGTTGCACCACTATTGGTTAGGTTTAGGGTAAGGATTATAGAAGTGGTATATTATTTAATTAACCTTTTATTGCCATTCCCCATAGATTTCATTTCAGAAGTCTCTGTTTATCTGATTTGGATAAAACTGAAAGTGCTTTTAGTGCGACTCACTGGACATTTCACTTGAAATTGTCACAAAACATGCAAGATATTAATGTAATATAATTTTTCATAAATGTCGCCACAGGCACGTTTTTCCAATGAGCCTGAGTTGGTATATGTAGGATACGCAAGTCAGCGGC